GGGTCTAAGGATAGGAAGACTTAATATCAGAAAGGTGGCAGTTCCTCTTAAAATTAATCTATAGATAAGAAGAGAATTTTTCATGAAGCTCAATAAGATGATTTTTAAATTTTTGTGAAAGTAATGGCCAAAGAAAGCCAAGACACTCTTGAAAAAGAGGAGCAGAGCCAGAAGACTGTCCTACAAGTCATCAGGGCTTATGAGACTATGGAAATGAAAATAGTGTGACATTAGCTGTACAAATAGGTAAATTAACCAACACGCTAGAGTCCAGAAGCAGACTCATGGGAAACTTTGATACGGGACAGAACGGGCATACCTCGTCAGCTGGGGAAGAGAAACCACTGTTCAATAAGTGGTACTGGGCGAAATCCATTTGGAGAAGGATTTAAATGAATCTATACCCCATGCCATATGAAAAAAAAAAAAATCAATTCTCGGTGTTTTGAAAACTTTCATGTCAAGCCAAAATGTTAAAATTCTTATTAGAAAATGTAGACCTTGAGATAAAGAATTTCTTAAGTATGACAGTGAAAGGCATTTACTAGAAAAGAGGTGAATTTGACTAAAAATAAGAACTTTTGTTTTCATTAACGTCCTTCCTTGAAGAAAGTGAAAAGGAAAGTTACAAATTGGAAGAAGCTATTCACAATACACACAACTGACAGCATTGGAATAAAAAACATATTAATAAGTATAATCAATGAGAAGGCCACACCAACCCAGTAGAAAAAGTAGCAAGAGAATGGGCAGGCATTTCTTGGAATAGTAAACACAGGTTCAGTACACAGGTATGGAGACATGAAATATAATGGGTGGTCATGGAGATGCAAATCAAGACAGTCAGTTACTATTTCATGCCTTTTCTGTGAGCAAAAATTAAGCCTGACAATGCCAAGTCTTGAAGAACATGAGGATCCACAGAATCCTTTATACATAGTTGGTGGGAATGTAAGTATGCTCTGGGAGGTGTTACCTTCTAAACTTAAGCATTCATATATACTGAAACCCAGGAGGTCCATTCCTGGGCTCGGAGAGTAACCTTGCCTGTGTGTATATGAATATGCACATAGATATGAATATACACAATACCAAAAACCTGGAAGCAACCCAAGTGCCTGTCACAGAGAGTGTGAACGCATAAACTGTGGCATTATACAAGAGTCCAAAACCAGTGAATTATGGCAATCCAGAACATGAATCAGTCTTAGGTGAAAAATGTAAGTTCCATAAATTATATTCACCAAGACATCTTTTGTATAGATACAAAAATGACTGAAATAAACAGCATACTTTAAACAAAAATAGGTAAGTGCAATAAAACTCTATAAAAAAGAAAAGGGGGTGATGAACATAGCATATAGGGTGATGGTTGCAGAGGGTCATATGGTTAGATACAGGTTATTGTCAAGGTCTTACCTTTTGTCTTGCTGGTAGATTCTTAGATGCTATTATATTATTAACAATAACTAGTTAAATAACTAAATACAAAGGCAGGCTGTTTTGGCTCAATCTTTAGAATGTGTCATGATCCCAAGGCTTATAATTAATCCGATATTATATGCCTGAAATCCAATTTAAAAATGTATGTTTATATAAGAATTGTTGAGAGCATTAAATGACTCAAGTGTGTCAAGGGTACCGGGTGTATAGTAACTGCTCAATAAATGTTATCTTTTACTACCGTTAGGATTGTTGATGAAATTACCTCTCAGCTGTGCAGTATATTTTGCTGTTATAGGCCATTAATATACATTTGGAAACGAATTTTTGCTTGATAGCTCCAAGAAGTCAGGTGATGGGTCTCAGATAAACTGAAGACATGTATAGAGACAGAGCTTCTGTGTTCTCTGTCTTCCCCTTTTTCACTGGCTGACTCCTACTTACCTTGTAGGTTCAGTATACTGTTAGTGTCAGAGATGCTGCCCTTCACCTCCCACTGTTCTGTGATCCTTACTAAAATTCCATAGTGCCTATAAAACTTTATAGCTTACTATTTATTACCTCTGGACTCTAAGCTCTCCCCGGACTCTAAGTTCTGTGCAGGGGCAAGACTTATATCAATTTGATGCACCACTTTTATCCAGGGACCAGCACAGGACCTGACCTGTAGTAGGTGCTGAGCAAATGTTTATTGGGTGAATGAACAGAAGGAAGCTTCTGTTTGCAAGTAGTAGAAATCATTTGAACCTGGAGCCATTTTGAGCATAGACTGTAGAGTACTCAGCACACATTGGTAATAGTGGTCTCAGTTTTATCTGAAAGTGTTCATTGATTTCATGAAGCAGACACATAAATTTATTTCACTAAAGAAATGGGTAGAAAGAGGCCATTGTAAAGATGACCGCCTTTCATTGTCTTGAATGGTATTTTATACCATTTCTAAATTGAAAAGAAGAGGAATTGCGCTGACTTTTTAGGGCCTCTAGAACAAATGCTTATTTGTTAAAGATTTACAAAATAAAAGGGAAAGACAAGTCTTCAGATGTCTTTACTGTCGGTTTTCTTCTGTTTTTACCATGTCCTTCCCTTTTTCTATGAAAGACATAACCCCATTCTTGCAGTTCTGGACTCAGAGGGTATTTGCTTCACTTCTCCGTTGTAATGCTTGGTTCGGGTACTAGCCCCCTGAGAGGAGAGTGGTAGAATTCCAAAAGGACTAGCCGGGGAGTCCAGATACTACTTGGTAGGTTTTAATTCTGTGTCTGCCAGATGGCTTGTATTACAGGTCACTTCACCTAGTAAGGGCTTGATGTTTCTTTTATAAATTAAGGGGTCAGGCTAGTTAAATTATATGATCCTTAAGGCTCCTCGATCTTTAAACCTGAGCCCTCATGTGTACATGTGTTTATGTGCAGTTTTGTATAGACCCATAGTCCGTGTCGTTTTGTCTTTGTTGTCTTCCTTCGAGAGCTCACATGTTTTATCAACAGTGTGAATGGGTTCTAATGCAGTTTCTTCCCCACAGTGACGGGCTGAGGTTATTAAAGGCTCCACCAGCCGGGCACTTCCCACTCTGGTTTCTAAATCTGTTCCCGGTGGCACCTTAGGTGGTTTTCCAAGCCTTTAACTCTCTTTTGCAAAAGGAGCTGGAGGAGAACTAAGAAGCTGAATGATAGAGTACAAGGGCCATTGATCGACTCAAGGTTGGAAGGGATCTGTGTTCTGGTTCGTGATGTGCTGCCAAATAATTGGTTGTTAATTTTTTGGTCCTTGGTTTCCTTAGCTGTGCAGCGAAAGATTCAGCTGGATCTTGTCTAAAGTACCTTGTTGCTCTGCCGCTCCGTGTTGGATCTATTACATAGCGTGCCAGCTGCCCCTCTCAGGTGTCCTTTAGATCTGTTACCTAGAGGATCGCTGGCTGCAACGGCACATGAGGTGCGCTGGGCAAAATCCAACCTGTGAATATTAAGAGCTTTCTACTTGCCAACTATGACAAATGTGTTACCTTTTGTATTAACTCCAAGAGGTATTTTTCATCATATATTTTATAAATACATAAACTGAGTCATAGAGAGTTGACATGATTTAAATGTTGGTCTGTTTGACTCTGAGGGCCCCTCAGCTCCCATCACTGTTCTTTACTATTTTGTGGGGGCCAGTATAGCATCCCAGAAAGGACAAGGGCTTTGGACACCAGCAGGCTTGAGTTTGAATCTGAGCCCTGCTACTGACCATGTGACTTCTGGTGGATGATTTAACTTCTCTTAGCCTTAGTTTCTGTGTTAGTTTTTCAAAGTTACTAACACTGACCAAACGGATGCTTGGAGGTGGAAGTGCGATCACCTACAAAAACACATTTTTTGATACATAGCAGACATTCAGTAGAGGAAGCTGTTATTATTTTAGTTTTTATATATGCATTTTATATATGACCATATTCATGATCATAAAGGTTTTTTTTTGCATAGTTGCTATGCAGGATGCACTGTTGTGGGTTTATTGGTGGTTATTAGTGGTTTAAAAACTCGCCAGTATGTGAGATTTATAGTTAGGTAACACACATATGAAGTGTAATTGTTTAAGGTAATCATTTTATACCCTTTTGCAGCTTTGGAAATTAGTATCCTGAGGTAAGGTAGCGTTCTTAAGTAATAATCTATTGCATTTAACTAATCATATACATGCCCTATGAATTAGACTACTTACTTCCAAACTAGTTACACTGATTTGTTTGGAAGAAAATGTGGTAGTCAGGTTGTATTTCATGTAGACCAAGTATCAGATGGAGAATACAATAGGAAGAACTACATTCCAAAAACATAGGAAAACCCTTTCTACTAGATTTTAATTCCCCCTTTTTTTCTTTTGTGTGTGTGTGTGTTTGTAATATTTAGTGATTCGCTTGTGTGACTCTGTTACCAGATGTCATCGGACTCCTAAAATTCCACTATTGGTAATAATCATTTAACTGGAAGGCTTCAGTGAGTGAACACTTCTGGAAATTGAGAAATGCCACAGAAAACACTTCAAAGCCTAAAGATGGGGTGTTCCCCCTTAGAAAACCCTCTGTCTGATACCTCCTATGTTGAAAATATTTTTAACCTATATTCTTAACTTACATATTTTGAAGCCCAGTCTCATTCTTTTTACCTTTGTGTCAGAGACAACTCCAGCAATAGTAGAGTCAACCATTTTAAGTCAATATCCAGTGATTTGTTTTGAATTTATTGGTGTCTGTGCACCAAATTCATTTATACTATTTTTACTTACAGTATTTGGTATGACTTCAGATAGCTCAAAGGGTTATTTTATGCTTTCTGTTCCACTCCTATCTATAAATTTTACTTTCACAGTATAGTCAGCAAAACTAATGGAAACCAAGAAGCCACTTTTCTCTTTAAGAAGAAGGTAACTTCTGACTTCTAGTTTGACTAAGCTGCATCCAGCCTCCCAGCACCTCTGGAGTCATTGCTGAGTTTATGTGAACAGTGACTGTACTGGCTCTTCCCCTGCAAAATAAGACTTAGGATTTCATGTCACCAGGTGTTAGCTGTAGATTGAGTCTCATTAAAATAAACTCTGGACAGCAGCGTACATATTTTCATTTTCCACCTAGGTCTGAAAATGTCAATCAGTTTCATTTTCTTGAGATTAGAGAGCTATCCCTTTAGAATGAGAAATTTTCTCTTGGAGATTTTTATTAATAG